CCAGTCACATGACTGCCAAGCTACTTCCACCCAGTCACATGGCCTGCAAGCCACTCCTACCTGGTCACATGGCCGGCAAGCCACTCCCACAAAGCAGGCCACACCTACAGAAGAGGTTCTAAAAAAATGTGAAACCCACCACTGGAACACACCATTTGAAATCCCCTTGCAATCAGGTGAGTCCTACAGCCAGATTCATAGTTTCTGCTCTGGCACCATGATTGACAGATATTTTTGCCCTGGCTGGTGAAGCAAAGACAGGAGGGCAGTACTACTGTAGTGCCTCTCTGACCAGCTTTATACTGGTCACTTGACTTTACATTTTCCATTATGAATTGATATTAGATTTTACACACCTGAAACATACAACATACTGTGTTGTGACATATTAGAATGGAACAGAACAAGAGTTGGAAGGGACCTTGGAGGTCTTCTAGTCCAANGAGTCTGTTTGCAGCTCCAACGGCTCCTGCTGGGCCACAACAGCTATGCATATCACTGGCACTAATAGAGTTATTGATTATATTTTTCCACATAAGAAATATGAGTTTTAGCTAAATTAAACTGGAATTTAAAATGTAAACAAGGGGATCCTTCTTTAACTGGGACATTGATCCACAAAGACTTTTAGGTTAGGAGTAAAGCTTCTTTAATTACTTTGGTTGATGTTTGCTTTTTACCCTATTTTGAGATTAATAGTGGTAGAATTTAGAGTTATTCCCACTTAGCTCATATTTAGAGCTTTATCCATCCTAGGGCTATACAAGTAATTATGGTCAGTGGTGTCTATTTAGCAAAGAAATAAAGGGGGAGGGGAAGTTCCTTGAATTTCTCAAAGGATTTGATAACCTCTTCACTCTCCTTAGCTAGAGGTGTTTTGACCTTTAATTAAAAGGGAAATGTGTTGTCTTCTATTTGGAGACAGCAAATAATGATCTCATTAAAATTAGGTTAGTGCTCAGGCCTTAGAGCCATAAGAGCTGAAGTCTCATTAGTAGCTAACAATCCAGAACACAGCATATAAATAAAGCTAATATGGCAGAGCAAAATGCCTTGGTGCATTAAATTTGAGCAGAATCAAATGTTTACAGTCAGTGATGTCTGGGGCATGAAGTTTTAATGTACTTAATAAAGGAAAGCAAATTGCTTCCTATTAGCCATTAAATGTTCCTAGAGAACTAGCCTCCAAAAAGTTTATTATGCAAATAGTTGTAATTAACAAGAACATTGTGAAAAAAAATACCATGGTTGCTTAATAGATGCAGCAATTTTGAAGAATAAAGATAAGGCAACTCAATAACAACAATAATATTGTTGAAATTCTAACAAACAGAATATAAATCTTCTATGTCTTATCCTATGGATGCTGAAGCATATGCTTATATGAAGGAATAACTATAATATTGATTCAATAAAAATTAATATGAAATCTCCAATTTAGAAACTTCCTTAACATAAGTGCTTATTTGATTGTATTGTACAATATAAATAACTGAACTGGGCATTTTTTAATTGCAACGTTTTGAGTGCAGACATTTCTGTTTAATAGTTTAATTCTGTTTAATTTAATTTATGTAGCAGAGTTGAAATATATCTGTGGTCAGAATTGTATATTTTGCAATAATTATTTTCATCATGACTTTTCAGGGAAGTTCATAAAGCCATGCATAAATCATTAAAAATAAGATAAACATTATTTCAATTTCTAAGTTATAATATTGATTTTATTGAATTCACTCCAATTCCTTTCAGGAGGTGATTACTATTACCATTACTATTATCACTGCTGTTGTTGTATTTTATTTTCATAACACCTTTCCTCCCAAATAAGGCTAGAGCTATATACAAAAAAAACACTCTTAAATCAATCTTCTATTTTAAAAGAACATTTCGATAAAATACCAACAAAGCCATATAAAAAATAAATCAATATGACATTTAAAAGCAAATTTATTTTTAAAAGATTTTTTTTAGCACTAGTAGTTAACTGCTGGGTTAGAATTAACAAAAAGCAATACTGCACCAGTGGTGGGATTCAAATAATTTAACAACCAGTTCTCTGCCCTAATGACCAGCTGGGTAGGCATGGACCACTGGTCATGTGACCTTGTGGGTGTAGCCAACTCAAAGTCACTCATGTCAATGGGCGCTTAGCTTTAGCTGTTACAATGTAATAAGGGTTAACCAGAGAGGCAGTTTCTGTAAGCAGGGCAATAAAGATTAGGCTAGAAACAACACCAGAATGTTTCCTTCCTGCCTTCCTTACAGGATTAGCCCTATAAAGTGGGGGGGGGAACCAAAATCAGATTTCTTCCAACAACTAATTCTCCAAACTGCTTAGAAAGTTACCAACCGGTTCTCCCGAATAGGTGCGAACCGGCTGAATCCCACCACTGCCTCAGTCCTAGTAGAATACTCATCTTCTCTCTTGTTGTTATCTTCTCAGTGGCAATTGTGGCTTGGCGTCTTTTAAAGGAAGC